CCCGCGCCAGCGCCCGCACCCGGATCCCCACTTCTCCCGGCCCTCGGGAACCCGGAGAGCCCTGAGATGGCGTTGGCGGAAGTGAAGCCCCAAGCGGGGGTCGGCGAGGCTGGTGATCAGCGCCGGTAACATGGCCTTTCTGTCCTCTCTCCCGTCGCAGTGCACCCCTTAAACAACCACCCCCGCGTTTTCCCCGTACTAGATGGTTAGGGCTCGTAGTGCCGAACTACGCTGCTGCTACAAAATAGCTTTTTGGGGGCAACATAAAAAAAAATTGTATGTATAGTTTATATTCAATAAAATGCCCCATTTTCAGTGCGCAAATCGACGGGATTTGACAAATTATACACTCCTGTAACCGTTATCCCAAGTGGACATTGACCATTTCCTTCACCCTGCAAAGTTCCCTGGTACCTCCTTCCTGTCAATCCGCCCCAGGCCCCTCATTCAACCCTGGTTCTGATTGTTATCATAGTTTAGCTTTGCCTGTTCTAGAACTTCATAGAACAAGATCATCAGGTAAGTACTCTTTTGTGTCTAACATTACTTTTTAAATGGCCATCACTGAGAAGGTGTCTCTGGGTGCTCCTGGTGCTTTTATTTGCTCTAGGCCTGCCTGGTCTAATGTGGGAGCCACTGGTCACGTGGTTATTGAATACTGGAAATGTGGCAAAATCCGTACTGAGATGTGCTCTAAGTATAGGCACCTGATTTCTGAAAGTTCAGTACACAAAAAGGGTGTAAAATATTTCACTAATAAATTCTTACATTGTGTGTTAAAAGTTATAACATTTTTGGCTACATTGGGTTAAATAACATATATTAACATGGACTTCATTTGATTCTTTTTACTTTTTTAATATGGCTACTAGAAACTTAAAATTACATACCTGGCTGTGTAATATTTTTTATTATATAGTGGAGACAGCACAGCTCTACACGGTGCTATTCTGTAAACACTTGGTTCTGCTCACTGCATGTAAGAGTAAATGAAAAGCTTGTCTTGACACCAGAAACCATCCCCAATGGAGAAAGTGATCTAAAACAGGGCCAGCCTTTCCCTGCACCTTTGAAACTTTGTTAAAGTTACTTGTTTGCTTAAAAGAGGTAAAGGGTCGGGCATGGTGGCTCACGCCTGTAATCCCAGCACTTTGGGAGGCCGAGGCAGGAGGATCATGAGGTCGAGATCGAGACCATCCTGGACAACACGGTGAAACCCCGTCTCTACTAAAAATACAAAAATTAGCTGGGAATGGTGGCACACACCTGTAGTCCCAGCTACTCGGGAGGCTGAGGCAGGAGAATTGCTTGAACCCAGGAGGCAGAGGTTGCAGTGAGCCCAGATTGTGCCATTGCACTCCAGCCTGGTGACTGAACACAACTCCATCTCAAAACAACAACAACAACAACAACAACAAAATAGAAAGAATTAGGTGTCTCCTTGGTATTAAGTTGCATTCTTACAAAAGGTCTCTAAAATATCCAATGTGTTTTAAAAAGGTATCTTGTGTTTTTCACAAAACAGAAAATGAGTAATTGCTTATGTAGGGGAGGAAAGAGCTGATATCATAAGGGTCACGGCTGACAGCCTTAGACAAGAGACAGATTAACAAGAGAGAAGCATAACAATTTGTTGAATCGTAGGTTTATGTGACATGGAAGCCTTCAGAAATGAAAACCCCTTAAAGATGCAAGGGAAATGATCTGATTTTATGCTTGGAGTCCATGAAGCAGGGACGGATGAGCTGATGGAAATAGACGGAGTGGGGAAACCCAGCAAGGCCTGTCCACATTCTTCTTGGCCTCTCTGTTGTAGCTTTTCTTCCTCCCCGGTATGGGGTAGAACCTCTTTGGAATGAGGGTCTTAATTTCTTTATGGCCAGCTGTTGTATAGAAAGGTGGTTGAGAGGAAGGTTAGAGTCATATTTTTTGACTTTCTGGCTGGCTTTGCAGGGAAAGAGGTTCTAGTTTCTATGACTTGCCTTGGGGGAGTATGAGGGGTGACAGGCAGGAGGGCAGGAGAAGGTCAGAGAGAAACTTTGCTTCTGAGGCCTTCATTTTGGGGTTTTGTTTTCTTGAGCCCCAACACAGACAACCTAATCACCTAAATATATTAAGACATAACATGGTGTATCTTTGACCAAATAAAGATGGAATTTTTTTTTTTTTTTTTTTAGACAGAGTCTCACTCTGTTGCCGGGGGGGAGGGCAGTGTTGCAATCTTGGCTCACTGCAACCTCCACCTCCTGGGTTCAAGTGATTCTCCTGCCTCAGCCTCCCAAGTACCTGGGACTACAGGCAGGCGCCACCACGCCTGGCTAATTTTTGTATTTTTAGTAGAGACAAGATTTTACCATGTTGGCCAGGATGGTCTTGGTCTCTTGACCTCGTGATCCACCCGCCTTGACCTCCCAAAATGTTGGGATTACAGGCATGAGCCATTGCACCCGGCCATAAAACGGAAATCTTAATGGTGACTATTAACATTTAGATCTTAATTTAAAAAAACATAGTCAATAATATATTCAATGTTATAGTCTGCTCTCTCTTTTTTCAGGTAACGTAAGCATTTTCTTTCTTTCTTCCTTTTTTTTTGAGACAGAGTTTTGCTTTGTTGCCCAGGTTGGAGGGCATTGGCACAACCTCCACCTCCCAGGTTCAAGCAATTCTTGTGCCTCAGCCTCCTGAGTAGCTGGGATTACAGGTGCACGCCACCACACCCGGCTGATCTTTTGCATTTTAGTAGAGATGGGGTTTCCCCATGTTGCCCAAGCTGGTCTTGAACTCTTGAGCTCAGGCAATCCGCCCGTCTCAGCCTCCCAAAGTGCTGGGATTACAGGCGTGAGCCACTGTGCCTGGCCACATAAGCATTTTCTTTTTTCTTTACTCTCTTTTTTTTGAGATGAAGTGTTGCTCTTGTTCCCCAGACTGGAGTGCAATGGTGCCATCTCGGCTCACTGCAACCTCTGCCTCCGGGATTCAAGTGATTCTCCTGCCTCAGCCTCCCGAGTAGCTGGGATTACAGGCACCTGCCACCATGCCTGGCTAATTTTTGTATTTTTGGTAGAGACAGGGTTTCACCATGTTGGCCAGGCTGGTCTTGAACTGCCCGCCTCAGCCTCCCAAAGAAGCATTTTCTTATATAAAAAATTATTAGGCATAATGTGACTTCGCACGAATGTATGCCAGTTTTCTTCACCATACCTCTACAGCATTTTTCCATTTTGGTAACTTTTACAAAGAGAGTCATTTGAACAGTATGACGGTGCCAGAATAAGGTATAATTAAAGCACAATTCATTTGCCCCTTAATCCTGCAGGAAAGGTGAAGTCCAGTGGGACACAGACCTTGTCTTTTTACCTCCATATCCCTAGGACTTGGAAATATGTCAAGCATGTAATAGATGTTCAAATAAACATTATATATGTAATATATGTGTATATATAATTTTTTTTTTTATTTATTTGAGATGGAGTCTCACTCTGTTGCCCAGGCTGGAGTGCAATGGTGTGATCTTGGCTCACTGCAACCTCCTGCTTCCAGTTTCAAGTGATTCTCCTGCCTCAGCCTCCCTAGTAGCTGAGATTACAGGTGCCCACGACCACGCCGAGCTACTTTTTGTATTTTTAGTAGAGATGGAGTTTCACCATGTTGGTCAGGCTGGTCTCGAACTCCTGACCTCAGTGATCCACCCACCTCGGCCTCCCAAAGTGCTGGGATTACAGGCGTGAGCCACCGCGCCTAGCCGTGTATATATATTTTAAACAGATATGAGGCCTCGCTATGTTGCCCACAGTGGGCTCGAACTCCGAGGCTGAAGCATTCCTTCCACCTCAGTCTCCCAGGCAGCTGGGATTAAAGGTGTGCACCACGACACCCAGTTTATCAATAAACATTTGTGAGCTCATTGACTGAATCATTATGTAGGTGGCACTGAAAATGGTAACAGCTAAGCTTAATTTAGCATTTAGGCCCTGTCTTTGTAAATCCCTGCTAACTCTCTAAGGTAGGTACTATCATCATCCATAAATACTGTATGGTTTGTAAAAATTGAGGTTTTGAAATGTTGAAGAATTTGCCAAGGATCACAGCTGTAAGGGACAAGAGTCAGGATTTGAACCCAGGCTGTCTGATTCCCCTGGACAGGCACTTATCAAAATTGAACAAATCAGCCCGGGTGGCTCAGGCACGGTGGCTCACACCTGTAATCCCAGCACTTCGGAAGGCCTAGGCGGGCAGATCACCTGAGGTCGGGAGTTTGAGACCAGCCTGGCCAACATGGTGAAATCCTGTCTCTACTAAAAATACAAAAATTAGCTGGGCATTGTGGTACACACCTGTAAACCCAGCTACTTGAGAAGCTGAGGCAGGAGAATCGCTTGAACCTGGGAGGCGGAGGTTGCAGTGAGCCGAGATTGCGCCACTGCACTCCAGCCTGGGCAACAAGAGCGAAACTCCATCTCAAAAAAACAAAACAAAATGAAAACCTATGAATCTTAGGCAAAAATGATGCGTCAATGTAGGTTCACTGATTATAATAAATGTACCACTCTGCAAGTGCGGGATGGAGTGCAATGGCATGAGGCTGGAGTGCAATGGCATGATCTCGGCTCACCGCAACCTCCACCTCCCGAGTTCAAGCGATTCTCCTGCCTCAGCCCCCTCGAGTAGCTGGGATTACAGGCATGCGCCACCACGCCTGGCTAATTTTGTATTTTTAGTAGAAACGGGGTTTCTCTATGTTGGCCAGGCTGGTCTTGACCTCCTGACCTCAGGTGATGCGCCCGCCTCGGCCTCCCAAAGTGCTGGGATTACAGGCGTGAGCCACCGCGCCCAGCAGAAAGTCCGTAGTTTATTTACATCAGGGTTCACTCTTCCTGTTGTCCATTCTGTGGGTTTGGATAAATGTATAATGACATGGATCCGTCATTACAGTACTATACAGAATAGTTTCACTGCCCTAAAATTCCCTTGTATTCTGCCTATTCATCCCTCTCTCCCTCCTACCCGCTGACAACCACTGATCTTTTCCCTGTCTCTCTAGTTTTGCCTTTTCCAAAGTGTCATATAGTTGAAGTCATACAGTATGTAGCTTTTTCAGATTGGCTTCTTTCACTTGGTAATATGCACTTGAGATTCCTCCGTGTTTTTTCCAGGCTTGGTAGCCCATTTCTTTTTAACACCAAATTGTATTCCTAGAGATTGCTATTTTTTCCCCACTTTACAGATGAAGGAATAGACACAGAAAGGATAAAGAACTTGCCCAAGGTCGGGCGTGGTGGCTCACGCCTGTGATCCCAGCACTTTGGGAGGCCGAGGTGGGTGGTCACTTGAGACCAGGAGTTTGAGACCAGCCTGGCCAACATGGTGAAATCCCATCTCTACTAAAAATACAAAAATTAGCCCAGCATGGTGGTGCATGCCTATAATCCTAGCTACTTGGGAGGCTGAGGCATGAGAATCATTTGGACCGGGGAGGTGGAGGTTGCAGTGAGCCGAGATTGTGTCACTACATTCCAGCCTGGGCAACTGAGTGAGACCCTGTCTAAAAAAAAAAGAAAAAAGGAAAAAAAAAGAACTTGCCCAGGTACAGTTTGTACAGATCAGTCTGACACTGGAGTCTGAGCTCTTAAACATTTTAGCATGCCTGTGAATCCTAGAGAAATTTGGTTTATCATGATGAAGTTTGTTGCATGATAGAGTTGAGGTCTTTGGAAACCCAGGGCAACAGACCTAGGCACTTTGCTTGCAGAAGGTATCCACAGCTTTCTGTATAGTGACAATAATAAAAAGCCTAGAAGATAAGACTCTGTTTCAAAAAAAGTTCAAGTATTTAGTTTAGATAGAAAACTGCTGTGTGCTTTTGAAATTTTGGTGAGATGAAGCATGGTGGCTCACTTTTGTAATCACAGCATCTTGGGAGGCCAAGACAAGAGGACTGCTTGAGCCCAGGAGTCTGAGACCAGCCAGGGCATCATAGTAAGAACCTGTCTTTACAAAAATGTTTTAAGAATTAGCTGAGAGAGTTGGCACGTGCCTGTAGTCCCAGCTACTCCAGAGCCTGAGGCAAGAGGATTGCTTGAGCCCTGAAGTTCAAGGTTGCAGTGAGCTATGAACATGCCACTGCACTCCAGCCTGGGTGACCTAGTGAGACACTGTCTCTTAAAAAAAAAAAAATTCTGAGCTAGGGGCGGTGGCTCATGCCTGTTATCCCAGCACTTTGGGAGGCTGAGGCAGGTAGATCGGTTGAGCTCAGGAGTTGGAGACTAGCGTGGGCAACATGGTGAAACTCTGTCTCTACAAAAAAACCACAAAAATTAGCGGGGTGTGGTGGTGCTCACCTACAGTCTCAGTTACTAGGATGCTGAGGTGGGAGGATCGCTTGAACCCAGCGAGCAGAGATTACAGTGAGCCATGATTGCACCACTGCTCTCCAGCCTGGGTGACAGAGTGAGACTTGTCTTTAAAAAAAAAAAAAAAGAAAAAAAAATTCTGGTTGAATGCACTGTCTGCTTTACTAGTTTCAAATATTTCTCTTTCCTTATCCATAATTTTATTGCCTTTCAGATTATATCTGGGTGTTGGCACCCAGCCACTATTCTGCCAATGAAGTACATCCTGGTCACGGGTGGGGTCATCTCAGGCATCGGTAAAGGGATCATTGCCAGCAGCATTGGGACGATTCTAAAATCATGTGGACTCCGAGTTACTGCCATCAAAATCGACCCCTATATTAACATCGATGCTGGCACTTTTTCACCTTATGAACACGGTACGAAAGAGAACCACCTCCCCCTTATAGCGCTAGGCTCAACTGCATTTTTTTCTTCCGCTTTGGGTAATTTCTTTAGGATGTAGTTCCAGATTTAGAGTGACTAGATTGCATGCTATGAATACGTGAATTTTCTCATGGTCATTGACACATTGTTCATACCTCTGATGACATTCCAAATTAATCAACCCTTGTGGAAACATTGTACTTTTTGTACTATGGATTCTGTTTTATTTTTATCATAAAGGTAGTATGTTTCTCTTAACATTTCCCATTGCCTGGAGTAACTATTATTAATGGTGACATTTTGATGTATGAGTGTATTCTATTTATTTTTAAAATGGCTTTAGCCCTTACATGCTATTTAAAAAAAAGTTTTTATGAGGCCGGGCGCGGTGGTTTATGCCTGTAATCCCAACACTTTGGGAGGCCGAGGCAGGCAGATCACGAGGTCAGGAGATCGAGACCATCCTGGCTAATACGGTGAAACCTCGTCTCTACTAAAAATATAAAAAATTAGCTGGGTGGGCCGGGCGCGGTGGCTCAAGCCTGTAATCCCAGCACTTTGGGAGGCCGAGACAGGCGGATCACGAGGTCAGGAGATCGAGACCTGGCTAACACGGTGAAACCCCGTCTCTACTAAAAAAAAAAATACAAAAAACTAGCCGGGAGAGGTGGCGGGCGCCTGTAGTCCCAGCTACTCGGGAGGCTGAGGCAGGAGAATGGCGTAAACCCGGGAGGCGGAGCTTGCAGTGAGCTGAGATCTGGCCACTGCACTCCAGCCTGGGTGACAGAGCGAGACTCCGTCTCAAAGAAAAAAAAAAAATTAGCTGGGTGTGGTGTCATGTATCTGTAGTCCCAGCTACTCAGGAGGTTGAGGCAGGAGAATCACTTGAACCTGGCAGGCGGAGGTTGCAGTAAGCCAAGATCAAGCCATTGCATTCCAGCCTGGGCGACAGAGCGAGACTCTGTCTCAAAAAAACAAAACAAAACAAAACAAAAAACAAAACAACAACAAAAAACAACCAAAAAAAACCTTTTTATATGCAAGCAAAAAAGAGCATAAATCGTAAGTGTACAGTTGGATGAATTTTCATTAAATGAACACACTGTGTAACCAGCTCCTGATCAAGAAACAGAAATGTTTGTGTCCCTTGCTATTCTGTCTTCTTGTTTTTGTTTTTTGAGACAGGGTCTCACTCTATCGCCCAGGCTGGAGTGCAGTGGCCAAGATCTCGGCTCAATGCAACCTCCCCCTCCTGGGCTCAAGTGATCTTCCTGCTTCAGTCCCCTGGGTAGCTGGGATTACGGGTACGCACCACCACGTCTGGCTAATTTTTGTATTTTTTTTTTATAGAGCTGGATTTTGCCATGTTACTCAGGCTGGTCTCGACCTCCTGGGCTCAAGCAATCCTCCTACCTCGGCCTCCCAAAGTGGTGGGATTACAGGCATGAGCCACTGCGCCCGGCCTTGAATATTTTGTTTTAAACTTCACTAACCGGAGAATAAAACAAACAAAAAGAGGGTATCTTATTGTTTTAGTTTAGATTTCTTTGATTTTGATTTTGTTTGTGAATGACTTATTCAAGTCTGTGGTAGATTGTATTTTTGCTTCAAAATATCACCCACCATCCCTCTGTGGAATACATTTCCCTGCCCTTTGACCTTGGAGTTTGGCCACGTAGGATAGTTAACTTGTCTTGGTTTGTTTGGAATGTTCCTGATTTTAAAACAGAAAGTCCCGTGTCCTGGGAACCTGCTTAGTCCTGGGCAAACCAAGCAGGTTGGTCACTCTGTTTGGCCATGTGATTTGTTTTGTCCTATGGGATGTTAGGGAATATTAACATATGCCTTGTTGAAGCAGAAATGTCAAATGCATCTGCGTGGTTTGGCTCAGTCTGTTTTGTGGTTCTGCCCTCCACCATGAGAACAGCTTGCTTTTCAGAGATTTCTCGTTCAGCCTTGGTCCTGGAATGAGAAGAAACAAGTGACTCACAAGTGACTCACAGCCCCCGTGTAACATGAGGGAGAAATAAATAAATGTTTTGTAAGTTGCAGAGATTTTGGGGTTGTTGTGCGGCACCATTGACTAATGCCATGTGTTACACTAAATTTTCTTTGGATTCTTTTTATGAATTTTTTTTTTTTTTTTGGAGACAGTCTCACTCTGTCACGCAGGTTGGAGTGCAGTGTGTGACCTCGGTTCACTGCAACCTCTGCCTCCCAGGTTCAAGTGATTCTCCTACCCAGCCTGGCAAACATGGCGAAACTCTGTCTCTATTAAAAAAAAAAATAATAGGCTGGGCGCGGTGGTTCACGCCTGTAATCCCAGCACTTTGGGAGGCCGTGGCAGGTAGATCACGAGGTCAGGAGATGGAGACCATCCTGGCCAACGTGGTAAAACCCTGTCTCTACTAAAAATACAAAAAAATTAGCTGGGTGTGGTGGTGTGCACCTGTAATCCCAGCTACTCAGGAGGCTGAGGCAGGAGAATGGCTTGAATCAGGGAGTCAGAGATTGCAGTGACCCAAGATCGTGCCACTGCACTCCAGCCTGGCGATAGAGCGAGACCCCATCTCAAACTAATAATAATAGTAATAATAATAGTAGGCCGGGCGCGGTGGCTCAAGCCTGTAATTCCAGCACTTTGGGAGGCCGAGACGGGCGGATCACGAAGTCAGGAGATCGAGACCATCCTGGCTAACCCGGTGAAACCCCGTCTCTACTGAAAAATACAAAAAAACTAGCCGGGTGAGGTGGCGGCCGCCTGTAGTCCCAGCTACTCGGGAGGCTGAGGCAGGAGAATGGCATAAACCCGGGAGGCGGAGCTTGCAGTGAGCTGAGATCCGGCCACTGCACTCCAACCTGGGCGACAGAGCGAGACTCCGTCTCAAAAAAAAAAAAAAAATAATAATAATAGTAATATAAAGATTAGCCAGGCATGATGGTATATGTCTGTAATCCCAGCTACTTGGGAAGCTGAGACATGAGAATTGCTTGGATCCAGGAGGCAGAGGTTGCAGTGAGCTGAGATGGCGCCACCGTGCTCCAGCCCGGTTGACAGTGAGACTCCGTCTCAAAAAAAAAAAAAAAAAGAAAAAAAAGAAAAAACAGTATTGTGATATCAGTTTGCTTTTTTCCTTAAAATTAATTCTCTAGACCACAGTTATGTACCTTAGAATGGATAAGTAAATGAGGAGATACAAGGTTTCTGATTAAGTTTGTAAGTTAGTCAACCTTCTTTTTTCCTGTGGACTTCTAGCAGTAGGAATAAATGATAGTTCCCTTAATAGAGGAAAGGTTTAATTCCCACAAGGTGGCTTTAGAAATATACAACTCTCAGTCAATGCCCTGAAGTGACAATAGAGATCTACAGACGTGTCTAGTAAAGTGGGTGCTTCTCGTGCGATGAAGTCGGCACCTGTCTTTTATGACAGTGCATTGTGCACGTAGCTTATGGCACACACAGGCTTTTTCCCTCACTTTCACCAAGTTGCCTTATGGGTTAGCTGTGGCCTCGCTTTGTCACCTACTGTCTAATTGTGGCTTCAACCAAGATGAGAATCAAGTAAAAGTTTCTTATCGCAATCCCAGAGTCCAGGATACTGATGCTTTGAAGTAAAATACTGTTTGTTTTTAAAATTGCCGTTTTCAAGTCCTTTTTTTGTGTGGCATATGTTGAATTTGGAAAAGCTAAATCCTGAAGACAGAATTTCAGTAGATAAAAAACAAAAACCACAATGGAATACTATAAATAGAATTTTCTGATGCATTTTCTTGGATAGAATTGAATTATTTTCTCCACCAAAAAGAAGATGGTGATAGAATATGGCTTAGAAATACATCTTTTACCAGCTTTTTAACAAAAATATGTCCATCTTTGAAAAATTTACTGGAAGCAAAATTTTGATTTTTCCATTGCCTTTTTAATCCTAGGTGAAGTCTTCGTCTTAAATGATGGTGGAGAAGTTGATTTAGACCTTGGAAATTATGAAAGATTTTTGGATATTAATCTTTATAAAGACAACAATATCACCACGGGGAAGATATATCAGCACGTGATCAACAAAGAGAGGCGTGGCGATTACCTGGGGAAAACAGTGCAAGGTATTATATTCCACAGACATTATGGAGCCCTGTGTGCTGAATATCTTTGTGCTGCTCAAAAGTAGAACTGAAGGCCAGGCATGGTGGCTCACGCCTGTAATTCCAGCACTTTGGGAGTCCGAGGCCAGTGGATCACCTGAGGTCAGGAGTTCGAGACCAGCCTGGCCAACATGGTGAAACCCCATCTCTACTAAAAATAAAAAATGAGTTGGGCATGGTGGCGAATGCCTGTAATCCCAGCTATTTGGGAGGCTGAGGCAGGAGAATCACTCAAACCCAGGAGGCAGAGGTTGCAGTGAGCCGATATCGTGCCACTGCACTCCAGCCTGGGCGACAGAGTGAGGCTCCGTCTCAAAAAACAAAAACAAAAACCCACGTAGAACTGAAAATGTCACAGTCCCTGCGCTCTACAAGTTCTAATTCTTTTAAACTTGTTGCATTTTTCTCTTTTCATTTTCCAAAAATGTCAGGGTAACTTTCCAGGTGACTTTCAGGTGACTGGGGAGGCCTAAAGCACATTCTTTTCTCATGAACATGGAATAAACTTTTGTATTAATACTTCTTTCTACAGTTGTCCCTCACATTACTGATGCTGTCCAGGAGTGGGTTATGAACCAAGCCAAGGTGCCGGTGGATGGTAATAAGGAAGAGCCCCAAATATGCGTTATTGAGGCAAGCACAGAACTTTCTTTATAAAATTATATCCTGCTGGGTCTTTGAGCATCTGATCTTCATTTATTTGACAAATACTTACACACACCCTCCTGAGTGCTGGACACTGGGCTAGGAGGTGGGGTCAGAGCAAGAAACAACATAGATGGCTTCTGTCTTTGTGGTCACAAGTGAGTGGGCAAGATTGTCATTAGACAGACAATCACACATACTCGTGGGTAGATGTGCAGTGATCTGCTTGTGGAGACTGATCAGCTGCTGATAAAGTCAATGTGAGGGCCTCTTCTGTGCTGGGGCCTGGGATGGGCACAGTCTCTACCCTTGGGGAACTTGCAGACAACCCTGTCCACACACGACAGACTGCAGTCTAGTGCATGCTATTTGAAAAGTATTTCCGAAGTGCTTTGGAAGTGTAAAGAGACACTGGGTTAGGGAAGTCAGATGGTAGAGGTGATAAGTGATTAGTATCAGCTGTTTAAAGAAAGAAGCTAGTGGCTGGGCGAGGTGGCTGATGCCTGTAATCCCGGCATTTTCAGATGCCAAGGTGGGAGGATTGCTTGAGCCCATGAGTTTGAGACAGCCTGGACAACATGGCGAAAACCTGTCTCTACAGAAACGACAAAAATTAGCTAGGCATGGTGGTACGCACCTGTAGTCCCAGCTACTTGAGAATCTGAAATGGGAGGATCTTTTGAGCCCGGGAGGTTGAGGCTGCAGAGAGTCATGATTGCACCAGCACTTCAGCCTGGGCGATGGAGCCAGACCCTGTCTTAATTAAAAAAAAAAAAAAAAAAAAGTAGTATTTGAACTTGCCGTTTGTTCACTTCCTTCACCTTGTTCCCTTCCTCTCCACATGCAGAATGAGAATAACATCCATATCCTCCTCCTCTAAATGTCAGTTGGCTTAATTGCCCGGCGAAAGAGCAGAATAATGACCAATTTGGTTCTTAGAGTCAGGCCGTCTTGGTTCGTATTTCTGCAGTGACCCCTGAGCCATGTGTAGCTCAGTGATTAAGAGTCTGGAGGCAAACGGGCTGGGTTTGTAGCCTAGCAAGGTTACTTACAGGGAGGAGGGGGTGACCTTGGGCAAGTTTGCTCAACCTCTCTGTGCCTCTTTAACTCATTTACCTCATTTGTAACTCATTTAACTCATTGTTTTGAAGATTAAATAAGTCTCTACACTTAGTGCTTAGAATGGTGTCACAGATATAGTAAGTGCTTAAAAATTATTAACTAGTATTCAGATGCCTGTATGACTTTTGGAAAATTCTCACAGTTTTAACATCCTCATTTGTAATAATGTGGTAATAATATAATATTGTAATAATAAGATAATGACAGGATTGTTTGGGGATTAAATGCAATAATAAAGAGCACTTTGCAATGTCTGGCATTTAGGAAGTGCTCAGTAAATGTAAGTTAGCTATTATTATTGTCATCAATGTAAGTGTTAGCAGATATCATGATATGTAGAAGATCCATTTTGTTAATAGTAGAGCTGATAAAGTTACTGGTTATTTATTTATTTTTTATAGATAGGGTCTCGCTATGTTGCCTTGGGCTGGAGTGCAGTAGCTAGTCACAGGTTCGATCAAAGCCCACTGTAGCCTCAAACTTCTGAGCTCAACCAATCATCTTGCCTCAGCCTCCCAAGTAGCTGGGACTACAGGTGTACCACCACCATGCCTGGCAAATTTTTTTTTTTTTTTTTTGAGACGGAGTTTTGCTCTTTTTGCCCAGGTTGGAGTGCAATGGCGTGATCTCGGCTCACCTCAACCTCCACCTCCCTGGTTCAAGCGATTCTCCTGCCTCAGCCTCCCAAGTAGCTGGGACTACAGGTGTACCACCACCATGCCTGGCAAATTTTTTTTTTTTTTTTTGAGACGGAGTTTTGCTCTTTTTGCCCAGGTTGGAGTGCAATGGCGTGATCTCGGCTCACCTCAACCTCCACCTCCCTGGTTCAAGCGATTCTCCTGCCTCAGCCTCCCGAATAGCTGGGATTACAGGCATGCGCCACCATGCCTGGCTAATTTTGTATTTTTAGTAGAGACGGGGTTTCTCCATGTTGGTCAGGCTGGTCTTGAACTCCTGACCTCAGGTGATCCACCCGCCTCGGCCTCCCAAAGTCCTGGGATTACGGGCGTGAGCCACCGCGCCTGGCCAACCTGGCAAATTTCTAATTTTATTTCTTATTCTACCTTTGGATTGACTTGTTTGCCTTCACAATGATTAATTTAGCACTTAATATGTACTAGCCCTGATGATAGCTGCTAGGGTTGTGAGGTTGACTGTGATCTGACTCCTGCTCTCCAGGACCTCATTGGCTGGATTTTAAATTTTATGGAAACAGAGAAACTGACAAACAGAACCCCTTCTCCATTATAACCCTGATGTTTATATTTGATTATTGGATACTAGTGGTCAACATCTTCTTTGGTTCATTGTAAATTGTGTTCAACAGCTGTGTCTGTGCACCATTTAAGGTTTTGAAGAAGGACTGCCAAAGCTGATTTTCAGTTTTAATCATAGAGGAGCTGTTGAAATGTCTTCAAAGCCATTTTATGAGTGAGACCTCAACTTCTCAGACCAGTGGAGCTGACAGGTTTTATTTATATTAGTACGAGTTATCTTGGCATGAACCTGAAATAATTGATGCTTGTCTTAAAGGAATAACATGTTTCTTTCTCCTTGTTTATTTTCCAAAAAAGAAGACTCAGCCAGGTGTGGTGGTGCAGGTCTGTAGTCCCAGCTACTTGGGAGGCTGAGGCAGGAGGATCACTTATACCCAGGAGTTTGAGCCCGCAGTGAGCCATGATCTCACCACTGCACTCCAGCCTGGGTGGCAGAGCGAGACACTGTCTCTAAAAAAAAAAGAAAGAAAGAAAAAGACTCCTTTCATTAAAGACAAGCGAAAACAACTTTGCACATCTCATAAATTTGCTGCTGCTTCCGTTTCAGCATAAAGTATTGTTATGGGTGATATTTTCCCTTTTATTTGGGGCAACAGTTAACTTCAAACTTTTCCAATAGTTGTATTGAAAGTTTCTGAACACAATAATGATGGTGACCTAGAGGTATGGTAATGGGAACTTCTGAATTAGCAGAGAGACTGTAGTACCACTGTTGACCACGTGTGGGCAGAAGCGGATAATGTTTAAAGTTGGCCTCCTTTTCGCATTCACTATTATTGACCCCCCCCCCCCCAGAGAATCCCCATCAAAACACAGGACGGAAGCATACGGTTTAATTTAAGCGCAGACCTCTGTTTTTCCTTAGAGAAAATAAATGATTTTTAAAAATTAGATTTTGGTGCCTTGTATTTAGTGGGTACTTACACTCGCTTCTTCACTCCTGCCAAGTTCCTGATTGCATGTGATGTTTTCATTTCGTTGAGTTGTTGTTGTTGTTTTTTAAAGAGACAGTGTCTCACTCTGTCCCCTAGGCTGGAGTGCAGTGGCATGATCATGACTCACTGTAGCCTGGACTTCTCCAGGCTCAAGCAATCCTCCCACCTCAGCCTCCTGAGTGTCTGGGACCATGGGTGCCGTGCCACCATGCCCAGCTAATTTTTTATGTTTTTGTGGAGGCAAGGTCTCACTTTGTTGCCCATGCTGGTCTCAAACTCCTGGGCTCAAGTGATATGCCTGCCTCCCAAAGTGTTGGGGTTACAGGCGTGAGCCACTGCACCCAGCCCTGGCTTTGGTTCTGTTGTAATTTTGGTAACAGATGCTAGAACACCGTTACTTAGGGCTTATATTGAATTTCAGGACCTTTCTGTCCTGTCCTGACTACTAAAGTAAATCTCCAGTGCTGCCTGCAGGGTACTGGGCTCATGCCCTCATGGGGCTTACAGTCTAGTGGGGTAGAGAGCCAGGAAACAAAGACGGAAATGAAATAGAGGCAACTTGTGCTGAGTTCCTAGGATGCGTACAGTGCTGTGACAAGGGCTAGTGGGATGTAGGCTGCTGTAGGTGGGGGGGTGGGGTCAGAGTCCGCCCTCCAGGGAGGATGCATCTCTCTTGGACTGGAGGATAAAAAGAGGTTGCTGTAGATGAAGAAGGAGGGTAGGAGGCCTTGAGGGGCAGGAAGGAAGAGCATGGAGTACCCAAGAGGCCAGTGGGGAGGGGACCGGATGGCACTGGAGACTCAATGCAAGGGCCAGGTCCTGAGAGCCTTTTGTTGGCTGCATTAAGGAGATTTGATGTTAGTTGTTTTTTTGTTTTTTTTTTTTTTTTGAGACGGAGTCTTGCTCTGTCGTCTAGGCTGGAGTGCAATGGCATGATCTCAACTCACTGCAACCTGTGCCTCCCAGGTTCAAGCGATTCTCCTGCCTCAGCCTCCCGAGTAACTGGGACTACTTGGGTGTGCGCCACCACGTCCAGCTAATTTTTGTACTTTTATTAGAGAAGGGGTTTCACCGTGTTAGCCAGGAAGGTCTCGATCTCCTGACCTGTGATCCGCCCGCCTCGGCCTCCCAAAGTGCTGGGATAACAAGCGTGAGCCACCGCACCTGGCCTTGTTGTTAGTTTTAATGAAGCAGTGGGCTACTGAAGAGTATACATGTGGAGAAATCTTTTATGAAGTTTTATTTTTTATTTTTATATGTTTTCAGAGACAGGGTCTTGTTCTGTCAGCTAGGCTGGAGTGCGGTGGCATGATCACGACTCACTGCAGCCTTGACCTCCTGGGCTCAAGTGATGCTCCTCCCTTGGCTACGAAAGCACTGGGATCACAGGCGTGAGCTGACACACCCAGCCACAATTTAGTGATTTTGAATGTATTTATAAACCTCTGTGTAACCATCAAACTTTAGTTCTCATGCTCGGTTTATTAAGAACTCTTTTTATTAGCTTGTGTACTGTGGGAGATGTGTGGTCATTTGTGTCTTTTTTTGTTTGTTTTCCATTCCCAGCTGGGAGGCACCATTGGAGACATCGAAGGAATGCCGTTTGTGGAAGCGTTTAGACAATTCCAGTTTAAGGCGAAAAGAGAGAATTTCTGTAATATCCATGTTAGCCTTGTCCCACAGGTGGGCTTTCCAGATAAGTATGTGGACAGCAACTTTGATAAGTTTTCCTGTGATATTCTATGTGTCCCGCATTTGAACGTGGGGCACCATTAATCATCAATAGGAGCTAGTGTCCAGTGGGCTGACGGGACCCCATTTTTTTTCAGCTCAGTGCTACCGGAGAACAAAAAACCAAACCCACCCAAAACAGTGTCCGCGCGCTGAGGGGGTTAGGCCTGTCTCCAGATTTGGTGAGTTGAGGACAGTGGGTAAGTCTATCCCAAAGGTCTCTGGGAGCAGGCCCTTCACTTCTTTTTTGTTTGTTTGTTTGAGACGGAGTCTTGCTCTGTCACCCAGGCTGGAGTGCAGTGGTGCAGTCTTGGCTCATTGCAACCTCTGCCTCCCGGGTTCAAGCTATTCTCCTGTCTCAGCCTCCAGAGTATTTGGATTACAGGCACATGCCACCACACCTGGTATTTTTAGTAGAGACGGAGTTTTGTCATGTTGGCTAGGCTGGTCTCGAACCCCTGACCTCAGGTGATCTGCCCGCCTCGGCCTCCCAAAGTGCTTGGGATTACAGCCAAGAGCCACCATGCCTAGCTGCCCTTCACTTCTTTATCTTTATCATCATCTAAGTCCTTTCTCATTCTCAAACAGCTCCTATGACAATGAGGTTTTTCTGTCTGGGAGCTGGAAAAGGCTTATTCCCTTAGCCTCAAGTGTTGCTTCAATCCATTCTTCCCTAGGCTCTCATTTGATGGGCCACATTGATAGTTGGGCAAGTGTGATGTCCCATCATTTATATGATTCCTGGATTCTTTAGAATGAAGGTGAAATCTTGGGATTTTCCTGTAACCCTGCTATCAGTGATAACCCTGTGATGGGTTTTCACTGCTGTTTTTTTCTTTTTGAGACAGGGTCTGGCTCTGTTGCCCAGGCTGGAGTGCAGTGTTGCGATCTTGGCTTACTGCAACCTCTGCCTCCTGGGCTGAAGCGATTCTCCCACCTCAGCCTCTTGAGTAGCTGATACTAGCGGTGTACACTACCACAGCGCACTAATTTTTGTGTGTGGTGTGTGTGTGTGTGTGTGTTTGTAGAGACAGGGTTTTGCTATGTTACCCAGGCAGGTCTCGAACTCCTGGGTTCAACCAATCCTCCTGGCTTGGCCTCCTAAAGTGCTGGGATTGCACCACGCCCAGCCCATTGCTCTTATTTTTAGTCTAAACAGTGATGTGTCCTTATAGCAGGTGATCCAGTCATCACCAATAGTCTCTGTCAGAGGTTGACAAATAACAGTCCACAACTTGCGTGCCTGTTTTTGTAAATAAAGTTGTATTATCATGCAGTCACGCCCATTCATTTACATATTGTCTGTAGCTGTTTTCACACTGCACCACGATTGAGGATCAGGACAGTGACTGTGTGACGACCTGCAAACCCAAAATATTTCCCATCTGGCCCTTTTGAGAAAAAGTTTGTTAGCCTCGATCTAGCTCTTTTCTTATAGTTAATGAAGCAACACTTACGAGCCTGGACTCTTTTCACCAGAGACGTCTCGATGTTTCGAGTTCTTACTGATACACTTGTGCAGAATTTGATTATACTTATTTTAGTGCTCAGACCAATTTCTAATAGTCCAGTGGAATGTCCAAAGTGAACAAGTATATACTTGGCCAAGTTTCTTGTAAAAAGAAATGAATGTGGCATCCTGCTGAAAACGAATCCTGTTTGCTGACGCATAACTGGCTTTGACAGATTGTCTGCCGAAGTTCAACGCCCATCGAGATGGCCGTGAAGGAGAAGATTTCTATGTTTTGTCACGTGAACCCTGAACAGGTTGGTGCTGCTCTTTAGATTTTATTGTCTGGCAGGCACTTCTGCTGATGCCAGTGTTTTGTGCCTCTTCAATGATCATATTACTTTTCACGGCATTTATGCAAGCGCCGGGCACCCTGATCCAATCATGACTCCCTAGCCCTTAAGTGAGGTAGGATGCATGTTTCTTTGCATGATCACTCAACTTATGTCACAAAACCAGGGTGGGCTTCATTTCTTTTCTTGAGACAGAGTGAGGCTGGAGTGCAGTGGCACAATCTCAGCTCACTGCAACTTCTGCCTCCCAGGTTCAAGCAATTCTCTTATTTTAGCCTCCTGAGCAGCTGAAATTACAGGTGCCTGCCACCATGCCTGGATAATTTTTTTTTTTTTTTT